CTCCACAGGCGGCCCCATCCAGGAAACACGCAGCCAGGCAGACGAGCTCCGAGCCAGCTCCCATATCAGAGGATGAAAGAGAGCACATCCAGTTAGTCACAGTCAGAGAAACAGGACTACACTGAAAAACAGGTAGAGCTTGAACATCTATAAACAAAAGAGTTGATGGCAGCAGCACAGCTGATATTTCTCTCCAGGATGGAGTCACAGTCAAAAAGGAACAGACCAGATGAAGCTACTATGAGAAAAAGCAGAGAGAGCAGAACGTTAGAGATTGAACTAACAGATTCTGTAGAATGGCAGATAGATAGAATGAAACAAAACAATGAAATGTGAATAATGAAAGGGGTCCCTATGTCCTCCAGCAGTCTATGCCTATAGCAGCATAGCAATAGAGATAGCTCAGGATAACCTGAGCCACTCTAACTAACTCTAACTATAACGTTATCAAAAGGAAAGTTTTAAGCCTTGCCTTAAAAGTAGACAGGATGTCTGCCTCACGGAATAAAACTGGTAGTTCAATTCAATTCAGTTTATTTATATAGCGCCAATTCACAACACATCTCAAGGCACTTTCCAGTTCACCAGTTCATCCAGTCAGATTAATTCAAAGTTTTCTATCTAAGGAAAACCAGTTGATTGCATCGACTCATTGACTCACATGCAATCCCTCATAGTTGGTTCCAGTTTTAGAGAGGAGCCTGATAACTAAAAGATCTGCAATCTTTTTTTCTTCTTTTGTTTGCGGTCTTTTTATTTGACCCATTACAGCTAAGATGTTTTTGCAGCCTAGTTTTGTTGTTATTTTTACACGTTGAATTTGATGAGGCAAGGCATTTTTTGATAAGGCACTGCGCCCTCCTGCCCCAGCATATAGCCAGCCTTGATCAAGAACATGTGTTGGAAAGTGCTTTTGCACAGTTAATGATATAACAGAAAAGGAAATTAGCTCAAAAGAAGAGGGTCTAAGCAGAACCACAGAAAACAGGTCTACAACAATCAAAACAAATATAATTTGTCAATCTTTAAATTAGTGTAGAATTAGTAATAAGTAGCCTAGCCTCTGTGAATCTGTCTAAGTGAACTATATCAGTTGTTCTAATGTAAATTAGAATTACCAAGAAGCATATATAGGTAATTCTACTTTAAATACATCATATTTATATTTGAGTGGACATTGTGTCTGAAAGTATGATTGCAGTTAAATCCCATTGCTAAATAAAAAACATTTCAAATCTTTGTCAGATAACTGGAATCACCAAAATCTAGCAAACTGTGAAATTTCTCTAAATTATTTGTTAAAAAATAATACACTGATTATAAAACATCCTTTGACAAACAATTTCCAAATTACCCCCAGAAAACATCTTTAAAGACCCTTTCTAATCCTTAACCAAGTGCATGTTTTAACCATAAGCATTGATATAGTGTACCTTTGAACCCTTGGAACCCTAAAGCTCTCCAGTAGTAAAACCAAAGAATAAAAGTACATTTGAAGCTGAGTTTTAAAGATAGGCATTGAAGGAGCCTCTCTTATGTGCAGAGGCAGAAAAGGCCCTTCCCCGTCTGAGATTCCTTTAAACCTTAGAAATTGAGTAGGGATGAAACAGCTCAGAGAAAAATGGTGGAGCATTGGTCGTTAAAACACTTAAAAATAAAAATGAGAATGTGAAAATGCACTTGGAGCCGGAGGAGTGAGCTTAAACATACTTGGTACCACGATTCTTAATGATTGCTTTTCGCCGCACATCGAGCACAACAGAATTTCCCTGCTGCATTTTGCATTCATAAAAGTAAATAAAATAAAAATATCTAGCCTTTGCTATATTGCCATGAGTCTTTGCCTTCATTTAGTTAGAACTGGGTCTGAAGTCCATCCATTGCTCCATCATGAAGCACTGAATCTTCTTTTTAATATGCAAACATGCTGCCACCCAGTGACAAGAAAGAGTATTTCCGTAAAAATTCAAAAAATATCCACTGGACTTGGTTTTCAAGATTTGAAGACGTTTCGCCACCTCTCCAGGAAGCTTTCTCAATTCAAATGGATTCGGAAAGAGTATAACATTACTCTGCCCATGTGTTAAAGCTGACAAAGATTAATTCATTTTAAATTGTCAAAAGGAAAACATTGGGCAATTTCTCACAGCAAATCTTACATTTTTGCACAGAATAATCACTACTTAATCAGTGGTTGAAAATCGCTGATTTAATTATTACGTTTGTGAGAAAAGACACAAAAAAAATGACTCCAACATAAGATATCGTAAGTCCTGCCCACATAATATTCATCATGCTGATGCTGAGAAAGCCACAGTCAGGAAACGGTTTGCAGCTGTCAGAGAGTTCACTGCAAAAATGTTCTGAAAATGAGTAAATATTTCTTAAAATAAGTGTATTTATCCTTAATTTCAGTAGACACAAGATGATGGGCCAATGGAATTAGCATCTTTACTCATAAAACAAGATAATCAGATAATATGCATTTGGAAGAAAGAGACTGCAGTTGTTGTTTTTTTATGTTGTTTAATTTGCAAAGTGTCTCACTTACTTGCTTAATTCAAGAAACAAATGCACTTATTTTTAGAAAAAATTATTAACCTAGGTTTAGTTTTTTGCAGCATTAAAGGGATAGTCCAGGACATAAAGTTGTATGAAATGTTCACCATCAATATCTGACATGTAGCAGTGTCTCTGCTGTCACCAAACCTCCTGCTGTGAGAAACAGACTAACATATTGGAAAAAACATATTTACAGTAATGTACTTTTCTTAGATTAATTAAAAAACTAAAATCCTGGTGCTATGTCAGCAGTGGCGGTTCTAGGAAATTTTAACAGAGGTGGCCGAGGGATGGCTAATGGAGTTCCAGAGGTGGCCAGGTTAGCATGGCTCCCGACCAGTGGCGGTTCCAGTAAATGTTCCTGGGGTGGTCAGGCAGGGGCCATGTGAACTGAAAACTGATAGGCACCAAAACTCAATCTATACTGATCAAAATCATCCCGCCAGAAAATAAATGAGCACAACATCTATATTTACCAGATAAATCCCTGAAGACCACATTTATTTTTGAATGAATATATACTTCTACCTAATATATACATTAATGAGTTGAGCAATGATCTTTTTCTTTAAAGAAGACGCCTAGGTGACTGGAGAGACAAACTCTCCCCTAGAAAACCATAAAAACTAATTCATAATAGAGCAAACATTCTGCATTAGTCCTCTTTATTTGACTTAGACATGAGACTTAGACAGATTTATTTTGTTATTTTGTATAGACAAGTAAAAACAAAAAGAAATTTAGCTAAGAACAGCTCTACAGACAATTTCATTTTTTAAAGGGCTTGAAAACAGTAAAAAAATATATAAAAACAGTAATATAAACATATGACTGTATATTTACAGTTTTAACATTTCAGTTTTTTTTTTTTTTACAATAAATATAATACAATACAATAAAATAACCCATGGCAGTGGGGAGGAAACTATTATGGAACCTGCTGGACCTGGGGAAGAGATGCCCAAATGAGAGTGGTCTATTGAATCCCAGCTGTTCCAGTTTGCCCATCAGATGCTGTGGGATGATGGTGTTAAAGCTGAACTGAAGTCCAGGAACAGCATCCGCACCTGGGTGTTCTTCTCCTGCAGGTGTGCCAGGCTCAGGTGGAGAGCAGCAGAGATGGCGTCCTCAGTGGAGCGGTTCCTCATCATGATTGGAGTCAATGCAACAGGCCGGTAATCATTTAGTGAGGTGACCTGAGGCTTCTTTGGGACTGGAATAATGGTGGCAGACTTGAAGCATGTTGGCACTATGGATTAGACCAGTGAGGTGTTAAAGATGTCTGTGAGGACACCAGCCAGCTGATCTGCACACTCCTTATCCACCCACCCAGGTATGTTATCAGGTCCTGGGGCCTTCCTTGGATTGACTGATTAACAGTCTTGGAGTGTCTCCATGGCACCCTCAGACAACACTCGGAACTCTTTAACTGTCGATTTAGCCCCAATAAGCTGCGGCTTATATGTAGAGATAAGCATGACTGATTCTGTTTCTCAATTTACAAGAACGCGAGTCCGTACTCGCGCTGTCGTGAACTCTGGTCTTGGCAAGAACACAGGAAAGTCTGGACTTGGTGAGAATGGGAGCATGCAGAATAAATCTGGGTCAATTGGAACTGGCCCTAATACAGGTTTTATTATTTTTTTATTTGTAGAAATAAAGTATTTTTTACAAGATATTAAACTTTTGCATCTTTTTCTGCTATTATTTACCCTTTTTACAGTGGATTATATGTATATATTCTGTAACCTTTTGCTTCTATAAAAATTAGAGTTAGTGTTTGCATTTAACAATTTGAATATATATAACTAAAGCTGCAATTCTACCTAAAATAGTTTTATAAAACTAATGGATTTTAAATATTTTTTTCAAATTAAAACATATTCTCTTGTTTTCATTGTAAATTTATTAATTTGATGTATAGAAACACAAACACAGTTCTTGCATTGTTGCATTGACTCTCTGTTGATTTTTGAATACATTTTAATGTTTTTATGTACTTATTTTAGGGAACCCACTGCCAAAATCTAGATACATGTTAAACCCTTATAATTAGCTTTTCTAACCTGTTTTGCATGTTCTGTTTGCTCCCGCACGCTTGGATCAGGCTGGTTAATCACTTGTTTTTTTAAGTCACATGCATGAAGGCAGGAGAAAATCCCCAAAAAGGAGTACAGTGTCCTGGAGACCAGAACTGAAGACCTCCCTTCTTCTCTCCTTGACTCAAACACATTCTGATACATTCAACATACACCTATGGACATATTCATGTAAACAGGGTTTTGGCTAAATGAGCCGTTTTAACTTTTTTTTTTATTCTTGTGAAGCCCTTTGAAATTTCAAATTTTTATTTATTGTATTAATAGAATAGAATTAAGAGAGCAGCGGCACTAGAAACTGCATGTCTTCTTGTGCCTCTCATGTAGCTCCTCCCACATACAGCAGATTTACTTTTCACTTGCTAAGGAGATACTGAGAAAGGTAAGTTCTTTTTTACTCAATTTATACTTGCATTGTTTTAAGTTTAATTGTTTTCTGTTCTATGATAATTCATGCCAGTAAAGTTTTAAAAGATTGACTTATATAAGTTGCTATGAGTGGAGAACATTTGCAAAAAAGAAGTAGTTTCATTCCAAAACCCACAAAATATATCATCATACAACATAGAGAAGGAGAAATCTGTCAAGTTTCTGTGTTGTTCTCAACCAAATTATAAGAACTACGTTAATATGAAAGTAATGACTTATTTCAGCAGTGGGATATATCTGTCAACAGCTGTCAAAGCTGTAAGTTGTGGTGGTAATTTTCTTTCTAAACAGTTATATTTACTATTTACAACATTTGAACTGAACTGGCCTCATATATACATTATTAAACAAAGGCATTTGCTAAAAATCTCAACATGCCCTCTAATCCACAATGCTAAACCTCTTTGGGATTAAATGTGAAAAAGCATAGCTGACGTTCAGCATACAGCTGCAATTCTAGATATCCTTTTCTACTTTCTTTTCTTTTAAGTCTGACCAGTTTCAGAATGAACTTTGCCAGGGAGTGGTGACTCCAATTTGTTTTTAGATCCTGCTGTTAGTGTGACGAACAAACCTAAAAAGACAAATGTTCCACTTTTTTCTTGCAAGAAACAAGGAAATAATTTTGCAGCATTTCACAACTAGGCTTCCACTCAGGAACAACTGGAAATACAACATTCCTTTTTCTGCCGTGCTGCTATGCAACACCAAAGCAGTGCTGCAGCTAAGGGGCATCAGCTCCAACGTTTGAAAAAATCTGTTCCTGTTTTTAATAAAGGGAATTTTAAGAACTCATATAATGGTTGCACACAATACAAACAAGGATGAATCACGCTGTGCATAACATCCAAACAGCTTTTCTACTAAGAG